CCGGTCCCCCGGCCCCGGCCCCGCGAGCTCGCGGTTTGTGCCTGCGGATCTCGCGTGGGTTAAGCGGGCAGGAATTCTTTCTTGGTCCGAGGACTTTTTGTCCCCTGAGCTTCTGCCCTCTCTTAATACTCTACGTACGGTACTACTACCTATTGCTCCGTAATTGGGTTCTGAATTTTGTTTAAATCCTGCTTTCCAACTGCTCTTTTTTTCTTGTAGAGTTCTGCTTTAGCAGGTGACCCGTCTAATATTACATTTAAGATTGCATTATCATCAGAAATGGTACTGGTCTGTTGATTTGTGTGTGTGTTATTGTTGGAATTTGATTTTGTTATATTTACGTCATTAAAAGAATTTGGAATTTTCCGTTAATTTGCTATACTCTAAGGCTATTTAAACATATTGGGATATTTGATTTTTGTTTTGTTGGGTTTGTTTGTTTTTGTTTTCTGATACTGGGGATTGAACAGGGTACCTTGCGCTTGCAAGGTGGGGATATTTGATTTTTAAAAGTTTAGTTGAATTCCCCTGAACAAGTTCTGGTGCCTGTTTATGCTCTGTCCCCACCCCCCGACAATTTTCTCTATTTTATCTATGAAAATCACTTGGTTTAAACATTCTGTCTCTGTGGACATCAATTTTGATAAATATATTTATTTAAAATTACAGTTTTATCTGGCTTATAGAAAAAACTAATACTGGCAAACCAAACATTTATCAGCTCATGTAAACTTTCCTAATTTACTGTCTAGCAGTGGCTGATGAAATCATCACAAGGACTAAAAATGGATGCCAAGGAGTTATTAAAGACAGATGGAAAGATAACACATTTCCATAGGCAATACCTGTGCAGATTTACCTTCCATTATTGTTCATAACTCACAATTCTACCGAAGGTAGAGGTCCCACGCATAACAAAACCCTAAGACATTTTTACACACCTATATTAGCTGAAAGTATCTTTTTCTTCTTTATCCAAGAGTGCAGCCACATTTATTATTACTATTATTATTATTACTACATTACTGATTCCTTCATATAAATAAGCTGCTGCACTTTGGATCTGGATGTCTGCCAAGGCTCGTGTGTTGGATTTTGGTACCCAGCTCAGCACTATTGGGAAGTGGTGGGAATGTTAGGAGATGGGGTCTAGTGTGAGGTCCCTTGAAGGGGACAGTAGGACCTCAGGCCCTTTCTTTTCACTTGCTTCCTGGCTATGAGCTGATCAGCTTTGCTCTCTTCTGGCATCTACCACTTTCACTATTTTAGTGAAGGTTCAACTTCCCTTTTCTGGCACTAGAGCAGTATTTTCTTGGAATCACCTCAAGTTTCAGTGACATCCAGAGCATGTTGGGTGGCTCCCCTAGACCAATTTATGGTTCCCAACCTTGCAGGTACTTTGTTCCAGTCTTGGATAGTGGGCTAAAGAAGTCCAAGGGAAACACACACACACACACACACACACACACACACACACACACACAGATGTCTAAGCACCTTTCCAAGGAATGCTGCATTTTGAGAAAAACTATACCTTGGCTTAGTTTTTAATCATTAGTTTAGCTTGCAGTATGCTTCGGCAGACTCAGTAAGAATTCAGAATTTAAGTCAAGTTTAAAATCTCGGTAATACACATACATCTTATTTGTTTCTAAAAGAAGAAGACGAAATGGACACACCTCAACAGTTCATCTTTGTTATTCTCTTTATAAACTGGCATATGGTACAGTTCATACAGAGGCAAATGTACAATGTTTTGTTATTCAAGAATAAGAGCAATGTGAAATTAAGATTTGTAACATGTATTAAAGGATAACTATTCCTTATTATTGCTCAGAAAGAGTAAAAGTCAGTAGAATATTGGGGAGAAAATAACTTTAACAGGTAGGAAACTGATGGATTTGGTAGACAAAGATTAGTAAGGGTTTAAAAGATTTAAACAATCTAATTTAAAAACCTGATATAAAAGAACCCTGGACCCAATAAATAAAAACACTTAAGATTTTTCAAGGCACAAAGCCAACATTTATAGTAATAAATGAATTCAACAATTTTAAAATGTGGCTGTGCAGGATCTATACAGTCTTTTCACAGTCATATAGAACACAAGGAGGCATAGTAGTTTCCAAATTTTAATCACAAAGTTTTCTTAATGATGCAATTAAATGAGAAGTCAACAATGAAAGAGGAGAAAAACTGAATATGTCTGGGAAAACAAACACTTTTAAGTACTCTTGTGAGTTAAACTATGAAACCTTTAGAACAAAATGACTCTCAGGAACGCATATGTATCAGGATAACCAGCTCAAATGGTACATAGGTTAGGTTTATACTTTGAAATAGATTTACTAAAGACAAGAAGACACTGCAGTGCCATCACACCCTACTTGCTCAAATTTGTGCTATTTCTTTAAGTGTCTTAGCAAAATGGATAAGAGCATTTTATCTACTCACACAGAACTTATCTGTGAGAAGAGAAGTTTCTGAGCTTTCTCCTATTTATTGAGTTTGTATATGACAGCATTACTATTTAAGTGAATAAAATTTTGCTCTTGACTTTTAAAGATATCCTGCCTTAATGTTAAATTGTAATAGGGTACATAGATCATAAAGTTTGTTTTTTTTTCTTAAGAAGTCATTTAATACTTTTAGTCTACTAGTTTGTTCATTGTTTTTTCCTCTTCTAGACCATTATGTATTTTCACCATTACAGTTTCCAAAAGATGCCATTAGAAATCAAGAGTATCCGAGGTTCCAGGTATTACAGTTTATTTTTATTATTCTTATCTTCAAAGTTTCTGAAATAAAAATAAGAAACATATAGAAATAGCATTATTCACACAGATAAAATTATTTCTGTAATGATTTCTTGACATTATTTCTTATTATGTCCTCTACATCACACTATCCTTTGAGAAGATAACTTTGCACTGATAAAAGGTATTATTCTTAAGATGTATTACTAGGCAATATCAATTGCAATACTGACATGGTATTAAAACTACTGAAAATAGATTTCCACCTGTGGGATTCCTGGGAAATCTGTATGGTCAGATTATCATTACAGCCAAAGAGCTGTTTTAGGTAATACACCAATATTTTAAAACACAACTTATTTTTATGATTGAAAATATAAATAAATATATAAATGAGGCTTACAGTGAAAACACATACAATAATCTTTAATATTACGTATGAAAGTCAGAAATTAAATGTAAAATTAGAACTGAAGAAACTTTGCTCTTGATGTAAAATAATATGTATATTATATTTCATAGGATATTAATTTTGAATTTCTTGTAAGACAGTGGGGGGAAAGCCCACAAAGGGCCAAAAAGAATCATGACAGATGTTTTTGAAAAGAACATCTAAGTTCTTTTTTTTTTTTTTAATTTTATTGAGTTTATTGGTACATTTTAGGGATACAGTACAGTTACATTCATTGTTGGGATCATGTACCTCTACATGGCAAGTCTTGATTCTCATTTTTTCCCTTACCTCTGCCCTCCCTTCACCCCCTCCTCCCCTCCCTATCTACAAACACTTTATTTTCATCTTTTCATTCTCTCACATTTTTTTTCTTTTCCCTTTTTAGAACATCTAAGTTCTAAGCTACAAGCTAAAGCTGTGACATGCGTCTTTACATAAAGGAGAAACATGAAACTTTAATGGTTTTGAATAAAATGAAAAAATGTTTTGTATCATTCTTTAATAAATGTCAAGGACATAGATTTAAATAAGAATTCTGGTAAAACCACTTTGATGGGAAGGATTTATCCTACTCCCTCTCCTTCCATCGTCTTTATTGAGACTTGTCACATTCAGTAACAGTAACAAGAGTGACGTACACACATAAAAAGTCATTGTTTAGCTGAAATTCAGACTTATTTAGGTGTACTGTAAATTTTTTTGGTAACCCTAACTCTGATGCATTTAAATAGTTGGCCATGGGCTCAGGATTTAGCTCAGTGCTTTCACTGTCTGCCTCCCAAGTGCATGGTCCTGAGTTCAATCCCCAGCACAAAAAACAAAGAAACAAACAAAAAAAGGATATTAAATTGTTGCCTGAATCCAGTGCACTGTATTTAAAGAAAAATAGTTTTTAATACAAGATGGACAGTTACCAAATTATAGAAAAACATTATTTTCATGTTTTTGCAGTATAAAAGAAATCCTTCTCTTTGACTACTTTCCTTGAGCTTTCAGAAATTACCACGTTATTAATATCAAAATATTTTAGTCATTTCTAAAATATTATGTTCATTATAGGTACAGATTATGTTATGAAAAACACTTATTTAAGTTGAAGATCTAGGAAAATTTCAAAAATATTTAAAAACTAAAAAGATTCATGAGTAAGAAGACATATTTTTGTTTCATTATTTTAAAAATATAAACTAGATGATTACAGTTGAAATTATTTTATAATTTAACAAGTCTACAGTATAAAAATTATACTTTAAAAGTTATGATTTAAAAGGTTAAGGAGCAAATTTTACATAAAAGTTTTTAGAAAAAATGAAACAAAACGTCAAAGTACAGAACAACAATATTTAAAATATAAGATTAATATATAATTATATTATATATTAGTATCAATTTTATATTTACCACTTTATCATTAATTTAAAAAATATAATGTCTCTTATTTACGAAGTTGAGAAACTGTCTTATTTTTTATTTTTCTGCAGAATGAGTCAGATAATTTTTTTAAAAAGCTGTTAATTTGTGAAACTCCTAATTAAAAAAATCCTGTTAGGAAATTTAAAAAAAGCAATTTAAGTATACTCATACTTGATACATTGCTAAATTGCTACTGATTTCTATTTTATATGCTATGAAGTATTAAAAAAGCCCTCAAAATATGAGTGATAATATATACATTCTTGAATTGTCATGATTTTACAAAGGTGAGTTTAAAATACATTGTTATGTGGCAAAAAACCATAAAATGTAAGAAATGAATTCCATTATTATACCCCCGAACATGAAATGGAAAAGACCTATTTCTTTCTGCATCGTTTGCTGCTACATTGTAAGGGTTTCAATGATGTTCATTTTTGTGTAAGGATTCACAACAGTTACATTTTCATCATTTCAAGCACTTCTTTGTTTTATCTGGTCCCAACACTTCTTGGACACCAGCTTGCTTGACAGCTGATAGCTAGCACTGCCCGAGCTCACAGCATCAGGTCCTCCTCCGATGAGTGCAGTAGGAAATAGAGGCATAGACTAGAAAAGGTGGAGAGAGGATGCATCTGTGCATTTCCCATTTCGAGTGACTAAGGTGTAAAGCAATCATTTCCTCTGTTGTGTGAAAACACTAAGGTGACCGATGCCATTTCAAGTATTTCAAGGGTGGAAGAAGCCTTAAAGATCATTTAATTTAAACTCTTCATTGTTTAGATGAAGAAAGTGCAGAAGTGTTAGGTCTCACCTAATATTGGATATACTGTATACATCTGGGTCATTAAGACTAAACTCTTGGTGTTTTGACTCTGAAGTTTGCATTTTGTGGGCTCTTATCAAGACGCTGGTATGGTTTGGATAAGTGCCACCCCCAAGCTTCATGTGTTGAACACTTGCTCCCCAGTCTATCATGCTGTTCAGAGGTGGTGGAATCTTTAAGAGGTGGGGATGAAGGATGCCCCAAAAGGGGATTTATATTCACTTTCCTGTGGCTCAGACACCATACCTAACACCCATAACTTATATAAGAAGTTTCATTTGGCCCATGGTTTCAGGATGTTTAGTCCATAACAGAATGGCTTCAAGGTAGAAACCTCACAACAGAAGGGCCTGGTGGAGCAAAAATGCTTAGTTCATGGTGACCAAGAAGTGGAGCAAGGGAGCAGCACAGGAAAGGAAGGGATGAGAGACCATATATAATGCCCAAGGTCTCGACTCATGGCTCATTTGCACAGAGGAGTATGCTTTACTAACCCTAGATCGCCCCCAGGCCAGTCAAGTTCACAGTTAAGCTTAACCATCACAAGGGTATTACAACCCACTCTTTTCTTACCTGCCATGATATAGGCTGCTCCTCTGCCACCTTCTCCCACCATGGTGTTCTGCTTTATTACAGACCCAAAGCAACTGGGCCGAAGAACCGTGGTGTAAAGCTTCTGAAACCATGAGCCAATATAAACCTTTTTCCTTACTAAGTTGATTGTATTTTGTCATGTGATAGAAAGCAGACTAACACAGATTCTAAGTTACTTGTCAATGATATTGTTTCCCAAAATAATGCAGACTTTAAGAATAACTAAATACCAAATGATGCTAAATTTTTCTTCATCTGGTTTGTATTCAGCTACCTCATCTTTGACACAGGAGCCAACCATCCTCACTGGAGGAAAGCTAGCCTCTTTAATAAATGGTGTTGGGAAAACTGGATTCCAACCTGCCAAAGATTAAAACTAGACCCTGATCTTTCACCGTGAACCCAACTAAAATCCAAGTGGATTAATAATCTGAGTATTAAAACAAAAACCCTAAACTTGCTGGAAGATAAGTTAGGCAGAACTCTCAAAGACATTGGCATAGCAAAAGACTTTATGAACAAATCCTCAGTTGCACGGGAACTAGCACAAAGAATCAACAACTAGGATCTCATCTTATTAAAAAGCTTCCGCACTGCAAAAGACGCCACTAACAGAGCTAACAGACAACCTACAAGGTGGGAAAAAAATTTTCCCAGCTGCTCCTTCGACAAAGGGCAATTATCTAGAATGTTTAAAGAACTCAAAAAAATCAGGCCACCCAAATATAAACACCCAATTCAAAACTGGGCATCTGAAATGAACAGACATTTCTCAAAGAAGTAAAAGCAGCAAATAAATGTATGAAAAATGTTCAAACATCACTGGTCATTCAAGAGATGCAGATGAAAACAACACTGAGATTCCACCTTACCCCAGAAAGAATGGCTGCTGTCAAGAAATCAACCAATAACAAATGTTGGGGTTGTGGGGAGAAAGCAACCCTTCTCCACTGTTGGTGGGAGTGCATTGTTGGTGCAACCACTTTGGGAATCATTATGGAGATACCTCAAATAACTAGGATTAGAGGTCCCATTTGACCAAGCTATCCCTCTGCTGGGTATCTTTCCAAAAGAATTAAAAGAATCATACCACAGTGATATATGCACACCCATGTTTATAGCTGCACAGTTTGTAATCGCTAAAACTTGGAAACAGCCCATTTGCCCTTCAGTTGATGACAGGATAAAGATGTGGTTTTCTAGAAAATGGAGTACTACTTAGCCATAAAGAATGAGAAACTAGAGTTATTCATAGGAAAATGGATGCATATTGAGGCCATACTGCTAAGTGAAATAAATAAGACACACATGTGTAAATACCAGATAGTTTCTCTGGTGTGAAAAACTAAAAGTGTAAATAAGATCCAAATTGTATAACTGACAATGTGAAATAGGAAGAAGAGGGCTAAAGGTGTAGGGGAAGTGGGAAGGGCAGGGGAAAGGAAATAAGGGACAAAAAAAATATGAAAAAAGGAAAAAATGGAACCAAAGTCTTTGTAAATAGGGGAGGGTGGAGGGGGTAAAGGGAGGGCAGGAGTAGGGGGAAAAAAGGAGAACCAAGATCTACCATGTAAGGGTACAAGATCCCAATGATGAATGCAACTGTACTGTATACTTAAAAAGTACCAAAAAACTCAATGAAAAAAAATAAATTTTTCTTCATCTGGTTAACAGTGATATAAATCAAAATATTGATTCATTTAAATTAAATAATAAGGGTTTGAAATAGTCTCTAAATTTATAATTTATAACAATGTATCATTTTGTTTAAAATTTTGGATTTTATATGAAAATAGTGAATGTTATTGTGATTTTCAAAACGCTTTTGAGTTGTATTATTTGAATTGCACAAATGACAAAAGTAAGGCCAAGAAGTTAACGTAGCCTGAATTTTTCTTACCACAACAGATAACTGGATCTTTAAAGATGTTTGCTAAGTTTATAAACACTCTTCATAACATACAGTTGTGTCATAGAAGAATGGTGCTTAAGCCACCATTTTTCATCATCTTTCTCACATTACCACACCTTCTCTAAATGGTATTTTACAAGCACATAAAACATTACATATTACCAAAGTTACACTTCAAAAATCTTACTTTCAAGTATTGTTCTTGTTCAGTGAATGATGAATGTATACCCACGTGCTGGAAAAGAGAAGGTTTATACTGCTTGCACATTTTCTCCTTTTGTGCTTTACATTTTCCCTAGGGAAAAAGAGAAACCACAATCACCTGTAAAAACTCAAACCTCCCCTTCTATTGCATTTACTGATAGCACAATGTTTATTGTGCTGTTTTTTGCTAGAGTTATATATATATTTTGTGGTATAGGAAATCGAACTCAGGACCTTGTGCTTGCCAGGCAGGTGCAGTTCCACAGAGCTAAATCCCCAGCCCTTCGCTAACAGTTTAAAAATCAAAAACATTTAAGTCTTACTTGTCTTCATAAGAATAATAGCACAAAAGAGTTGGGGTAAAAGGAATTTTTAACTAAAGCCATGTATTTTTGTACACTCAAAAAAAAGCAACAGGGCCAGGGATTTAGCTCGGTGGCACTGCGCCTGCCTCACAAGCTTAAGGTCCTGAGTTCAATCCCTGGTACAAAAAGTAAATAAATAAATTTTAAAAAGGCTACACTTGTGCCAGCTATAATTTTCCCTTTCTTTTTATTCTAATAATTTAAGTGAAATTTTTAGTATTTTCCTTCTATCCATTTGTCACAAGACATTATTCTGTCTTTCCCTTTCTAGTGTCATTGATAAATTCTGTACTGCATTACATCCTCCTTGATGTCTTCTTAAATAATAAAATTAATATGATTAAAGCAAAAAGCTTGTATGTTATTTAATGGATAAAACTGGATAATCTCCATAAAAATAAGAATAAGATAGGTGATCTGTGGCATCATTCTTATTAAAAACAGGCATTTGTGACTGGGAAGGAGCTCAGTCTTTGTGCAAGGTTCTGGCTTCAAATCCAGCACCACATTGACAATAACTCCAAGAAAGCAATAACATTAGATAGTTTTTAAATGTATAAGTTTATATTTAATAAAAGTCCTTTTGAAAATAGCAATGTGGCTTCTAAAGATAGAATAACAGAAAGTGAAGGCTGTAACTGACGCTTACTGACAACTGTTTGGAGAACTATATGTTGGTTTTTTTTTAGCATCTTTATTTTTAAAAGTTAATACTGATAAACCAACAAGGACATCACTAAAATACAAAAATACTGCTCACAAAAGTTGTAATGTGAATCTTGTTATCATCAAGATAAAGAATGGGAGACCAGATAGAACTTTAAAAATCTTCCTTTAGAGACAAGTAATACAATTCTAAAAAGAATTTAAGTTTAGGTATTGCATTGTTTATTAAAATGTTAAGTTCTCGAGAAAATGTTTATTTTTCTTTGCCTAAAATAAAAAGCACGACAAAGTTTTATACACATGACCTCAACACTGTGTAAAACTGGCAGTTTCAACTACGTTGTTCTGAATGTCTCAATCACAATTACTGTGTCAGATAATAGCAGTCTCCCCAACGGTTCTTTTCAGACTGTCAGTCACCATAGTGTATTAACTCAGTAATCATGCAGGGCACAAAGTTCAGTGCCCAGACAGCTACAGAAAAAAACAGGTGCACATCAGTGACTAATCCCAGCTCTGCGTTCAAAGTCGGCAGGCAACTGGTCACTGTGCATCTGTTACTCACGTCACTTACAGTCTCAGGAGTCTCCTAGCCGCAGACAAATTCATGTGGCATGAAGGTGCAGAAAGCAATAATGCAGGCAGTAACTAATGTGATTACGAGCTAGTTGCCCATTGGAATGTTGACAGCTTCCACTGCGTGACACCTCAGATCCACAGCAAAGGGAAGTTGGTCAGGGTGAATTTGTCATCGAGATCAATGAGGAAGGCGGTGGCTGTGAAATGCAGGTCACACTTTGGCAGGAGGTGATGCTGCTAAAGTAAGCTTCTCAGTAAAGAAACTCAGAGAATACGTCCATGACCCTGGAACTGCCAATGATAAAATGCTGGAACCTGATTTGTGCTCAGAAGTATAACAATTTGCCAGGGTATAGAGCAGGTGTTAGGTTTTGAGTTACATGACAACAAAAAGGTAAGCACTATTTAAACTATTCTCAATAAATTGTCTCACAGAAGTGAAATGCTTTAATCCTTGATGATTTCAATGCTTTAAAGTGCAGTGTATTCTAGTCTTCCTGAAGAAGGCCTACTTACACATTTAGATTCAACTCAATTTCTAGCTTCTTGAAAAAGTCTTTTTTTTTTTTTCCTTTTCTTTTGTGTATGTGTGTGTGGAAGAGTACTGAGGATTGAATTACATCCTCGGCCTTTTAAAATTTTGAGACAGGGTCTCACTAAGTTGCTGAATTGTCCAGGCGGATCTTGAACTTGTCATTCTCCTACGTCATCCCTCAGAGCCCTGACACTGCACGTGTGAGTGGCTACTCCCAGATAAGAAAATGCTTTTCTGTTAGGAAAAATAGTTAAATACGACTTCTGTATATTCTTGTATTGCCTTCCCCATACCATTTGATCACGACAGCCTCCCACGGTGATTTGTTTTTCACGAATTGTAGTGCCCATTTGAGCATAAGAATTTGGAAGGCTGAGTATCTTCTATAGCCTCTTGCTTGCTAAAATAGCTTTTTATGGATTCACCAGTATGTGCTCTGGCTGGTTACAACGATTGTACCTCATGCCGTAGGGAATACAATAGTGTTTTGAACACTATTTAGCAGATTCTGTCCGTGGCAGTAGACTTCATGAAGGTTATATATTATGACAACAATAACCTGTGAATTCTAGTAAGTAGGTGTAGTTTATACCTCATCACAGCTTTAACAACAGCTACAGATTGTTTCTGCACAGCGACGTTCATGACAAAGCATATGATCACTAAGAAATACTATTACTATGGAACAAAAGAATAGGTTGGAAAGATGAGTAAATGGCTAATTTTATAATGTACCATGCAACACTTACCTTTTCGTAATCATGTCAACAACAGATTTTGCATAATCTCCATTGCTCTAAAAATGAGGAAAAATTCAATGAAAGTAAGCCGCTTTATGATTTTATTATTAAAAGAATTTTTGTTGTCTATAAAGCTGTATGTGGAATGTTAAGGTCCACACATTTTCCAGCTTTTTCACTTTTTATAAGAAATTTTTCAAAAACCATGTATTTTTTAAAATGTGACTTGAATACAGAAAATATTTTATCCTTCATCCCTTCCCACAATATGAAAAATTACCATCCATTTTATGCTTAATTAATACACAGAATGTTCTATATCTAAAAGTATTTTGCTCTAAAAATGGTCTTATTGGAATGACTTATTTTAAAGAACTATTCTTATGGACAATGTCTTCATTTTCTGAATGTTATATGATAATAGGCTTGCTTTAAAATTACACTGCAGTTTTGTGCCAGTATTGCTCAGTTTGAATCCCAAAGTTTCTTCTGTCCTAAACCTTGTGAACTTGCTCTTTGAACATCAAACAGTGTGCTGGCTTAGGCCACAAATTCCCTCCAAAAAGTCATATGGTACTGACATATACATAGCACTATATCATTTTACTCAAATTTTCAAATTATACAGTGATTACCCTAAGGCATTAGGGTTAAAATAGAAATCTCTGGAGCCATTAGAGAAATCTAGATTAGAGAAATCTTTAATTACTGAGCAAATTACTTAACGTTCTTTAAGTTCTTGTTCCTTCCCCTGTACGATCACGTACCTACTTTACAAGGCTGTAAACACAGGTTGTAAATAACGTCTACAACAATTATCCACAATTCCTCAGGCATAAGAAGGAGTTCTTCAATTAATGGTAATTATTGTGGCTTAATATAAATTATTTCTGGAGATATATATATATATATTTACACCAACTTTAAAAAATATTACTATTAATAGTCCTTCAACTCTCTAGGTTCCCAGGCTGGCCTTAAATTCATGGTGATTCCTTCTGCCTCAGTTTCCCACATGCTGGAATTACAGGCATGTGCCACCATGCCCAGCAACATACCAATGTTTTATTGAGCTAAGCAGATCTTATTACCAAAGCATCAATTTTAGTGTTGTTTGAGGCTGGGGATTTGGCTCAGTGGTTCCCACCGCCTGCCTTGCAAGTGCAAGGATCCAAGTTCGATCCCCAGTACCAAAAAAAAAAATAAATAAATAAATAATAATAATAATAATAATAATAATTTTAGTGTTGTTTGTAAATATAATTTCTGTATCTTATAGTATACAGGAATGCTATATTAGATGTCATTCAAATTTAGCAAAATTATCTACCCTACATTAAACCATTTTGTTTTCTTTGTAGACTTACGTATTTCTTTCTCAGTGGTGTCAGAAAGTATTACATATATTGTCTGCAACCCAAAAAAGGCATGTGTGGGTTCCATTGTTTTTAAATTTTAGAATAAAAATTTAAAATGATAAAGTGATTCCCACTGAGGAAGGGAATTTGGAAACAATAGGGAGAGAATAAGAACTTCTTATTTTTCATACATACATCTGAAACAGAAACAATCACTACACAATCCTTCTCTTCCAGAGGTGTGATCCTGGTGACAATGGAGTTCAGCGTTTGCTTCAGGTAAGTGTGATTTCCTCTGCTGACAGTGGGAATGCCTAGTGCAAAAGAAACTGCAGACACAGGAGTACGGAAGCATCGTCTCAAGGCACAAATCAAAACACAGCAACATCAGTTCTGTACTTCTTTGTTTGGGTTTGTCTTACGCTAATAAAAATAGCATTTGAAACTGCATTATAAGAATAACCCTATGTCATCGCATCTTACGTTTTCTGTTGGAGGGAATTCTCATTTATATTTTAGTCAATGTATTAAATATACTCCACAACAGTGAAAAGACTATAAAATGTTTTCATCAGTGAGAAAAATGTTTGAAGTAATTTCTAAGTGGCTTGTGGAATAACTTCATGCCCTTAAGTGGCTTTCATTGCCCAATAATAAGTGAAGCACTGAGGAAGACCAGCCCCATATTACGCTGAAGGAGCACTGCATTGAGATTTCAACAAGGAATTCTGCCCGTATCCAATCGTGGTGGCCCCAGCTCCTAGCTGTGTGAGTGGAGCGCAGCTTCTCCATCCTCCGTTTCTCCACCTTGAAAATGAGGAGAAGAACTTCCAGAATGGCTAAGTGAGGGACTCAGAAAATAATCTTCCTAAAGAGCAGCTAGAAAACTAAAAAAGAAATGGGTGAAATAATTATTTTAGGGCCATAACATACAACAAAGTGAGAAATGTTTATTTAAAGAAAGAGACCAGCTGGGCGTGGTGGTGCACACCTGTAATCCCAGCATTCAGGAGGCTGAGGCAGGAGGATCTCTGTGAGTTCGAGACCAGCCTGGGCTACATAATGAGTTCCAGACCAGTCTCAACTACAGAGTGAGACCCTGTGTCAAAAATAAGAGAGAGAGAGAGAGAGAGAGAGAGAGAGAGAGAGAGAGAGAGAAAGAAAGAAAGAAAGAAAGAAAGAAAGAAAGAAAGAAAGAAAGAAAGACTGAACCTTGGAAATGGCTGCAAAAATTAGTGTTTTGCTGATTACCATTGAATTTGAACATTAGAGCCATTAGGTTGACCTTGAGCTTACTGTACCCTTCCTTCTTCAACAGTGTGCTGGGAATATAGATGTGAACCACCACGCCTGGCTCCTTTACTGGTTTATATCATGATATATTCTGAAGATGAGCCTATGGGTTTATAATGTGTGGTAAAAATATCATCACTCATTCTGGGTTCCCTTTTTAATACTGTGTCTCTAATGTGCAGAAATTCTTAATTTTAATGTAGTACATTTTAGTCATCATTTCCTTTGTAGTTCATCCTTTTGGGGTTCGAGAAATCTTTGTTTATATCTCTAGGCCCTAAGAACATTCTCCCAAGTTATCTTCAAGAAGGCCTATTATTTTTCTTTCATTTTGGCCCTACAGTGCACCTGAAATTGATTCTTATAGGCAGTGTGACACAGGAATCAAGCTTCAAGGGGTGGGACGCACTGTCTTGGTACAATTCTTGGGATGGCTTCTGTTAGTGTTCCAGCACTAAGTCATTAACTGCTGTCGGATACAGTTCTGACCTTGGGCCCAATAGCCTTGCTTCAATCGCCACTGTTTTTTCCCTTATTTTGTGTAACTGAGCTCATGCTTTAAGGGTGAAGCATTGTCTCTCTGTAAAACTTTTGCTAACCTGGGTTCCCAAAAAGATGGGGAGATAGGAGAACAGCCAAGTACAAAACAGGTTTTCAAGACCAAAGAGAAAAGCTTTGTCAAGTATTTAGTGGAGGCTTAAAGTATATTTGACGCATAGTGACTCATTTTCAATGTATCTGTATTGAAATAAAATTTTGAATCAAATCACTAAATATTTATACAACTGTGTTTTTCTGCTAGACCAGATAATAACCTGGCTGTTGATAGGCAGAGCCTTCTGAATGCCCGGTAGGCTGGTGGTCTCCTCTCCACCTGCCTATGATATTAATGAATTACACTTTCAAACGTAAAAGTATTCTCCTCAAATATCAAAATATCTATTCAGTTTTTCAATTCTGAAGTTTCTTACCGCCTGTTTTCCCTTGGCCAATGATTACTTTAGGATAAATTCTTTTGATTTTCTTTAGATGAGGAAGAAAGAGCTTAAAGTCTTCAAATATATTAGACACTGTTTCATCCTCACTCGGTGTATCAACTTTCTTCTCATCTGAACAAGAAAATAAACAGGGCTTCTGAGGTTTTAGCTATAGGGATTTTTTCCTCTCTGTTACAACATTTTTAAATGAGGGTAATAAGTTAATCCACAGATTAATTTAGTATGAAAGAGAAAGATATCCTTAAATGTGAATTATCAAAATTATACAATAAAATGTACTCAATGATTTTTTTTTTTTTTTGAGACAGGGCTGTGCTATGTAGTTTAGGCTGACCTTGAACTCACTATGTATCCCAGAATGGCCTTGAACTCTGTTGGTGATCCTCCTGCCTCAGCCTCCTGAGTGCTGGGATTACAGACAAGCACCACACTCAAAGAATATTGATTCATATTTATTTTAAAAGCAATTTTAATAATCCTAGCACCATGAGTTATGCCACGGACAAACAGAACTGTCAGTTTCAAGTGAAACATGCTGGAGAAAATGGCTTCTTCTGCAATTCTGCTAAATATCACTACATTAAAGTTGCATGTTTATAACCATTTTGTAACCTGTTAACATTTGATGACTCTGTACCCTTCATTAAAATTTTCTTAAACAGTTTCAAAAAAGATAAACAAAGTCAGAGGACTCACACTATCAAATTCTAATTTATAATATACAATTTAGTGGACCGGGGATTTAGCTCAGTGGTGCCACTGCCTGCCTTGCAAGCGCAAGGACCCAAGTTCGATCTTGGTACCCCTGCCAAAATATATATATATACAATTTAGTAATGAAAACAGTATGGCATTACATAAAAATAGATGCATAGCCCAATGGAACAGACAAGACAATATAGAAATGGATCCACACACATGCATGACTGATTTTTGACAAAGATTGAAGGCAATCAATCAATGAAGAAAAGACAGTTAATGGCTTAGTGCTAGAACACTTAGGCATCCAAGGGAAAAAATTGAACCTTGATCTGTACATTAGACCACTTACAAAATTGAAGTCAAAAATTTTATAACTATAAATGTAAAACATGAAAACTATTTGTAAAACATGAAATCCTTTTGACCCTCAGCTAGGTAAAAAGGTCTCACATACATCAAAGAAAACCTGCCCCAGCCAGCAGGGCTCGTAATTAGCAGAGCTCGAGAAGGGGAGATACCTGGAAATGGGACAAAAAAGGCTCAGAAAGAAGGAGACCAAGCAGAGGCTTGTCAAGGTCTCGTTTATTTTAGGCACAGCAAACGTATATAAAGACAAAAAAAGAGGGGGCAATTCTATGGGGGAATTCCAGAGCGCGCAACTGCTGCAACAGGACATTCTTGAGATAAGGATACCATTAGCTTCAAAGCGGATCTATATATCACAAGCTGTCACAAGATGTTGTTAGGCGACAGATCATGTCACCGCTCTGCTCAAGGCCGTTGTCATGGGTAACGGCACGTCCGTGTCAGTGAGGTGACTCAGAGGTTAACATGGAGGTGGTTATGTTAGGCTCAGAAACAACTCTGAGAGTATATATATTTGGTTCACTACATCTCTTCCCTTTTTACAATAATAAATGAAGAGATATATATCATGCAAGCCAGGAGCGGAGGCCAATTAGTTTAGAAAAGCTATCCCAGGTGCCCTGATCTTGTCAGTAGGCTTTAACCATAGAGGGGGAGTAGAGGCCAGGTCTCCGAGTTCTTTTTTGATGCCGATTTTCGGGGAGGGGCAGTCACAAACATGTTTTGGACTTTAGGCATCAGCCCCTATGCAACCAAGCTTGCTCCTCAAAGAACCCAGAAAGACAAGCAAGTTTGTCTCATCCTTCCTCGGGTACTTTGTCCCGGGCCTCTGTAGGTGCCTATATCCGCTTTGGGATATGTCAGCTCTGGGTACTGACAAGTTCCGAGGGAGGTTTATCAGGATTTAAAGGAGATTATTCCTTAGCAGGAGTCAGGTGGACAATCCTCTTCTGGATAGCCTTGATCAATCAAATTGAGGCGATGATAATGAATTTGGATGGACTTAGCTTGCATGGTATCTATCTGTTGTTTGATAAAGGCCATGAGTCTATTAAATAATAGAGGCCCTATAGTTAATAATATTAAGAGCCCTAATAAAGGCCCTAGTAAAGGGAGGAGATAAGGCAAAAATCCATTGACCCCAGTCCAAAAAGGATTCTCATATAATTCTTTTCTGCACTTTTCTAAATCTTTCTGTAAGGTTTTAATTTTATCCCTGACAATATCAGACTTATTTGCATAAAAACAACATTGTTCTTGAAGGGCGAGACAGATTCAGAGGAGGCTTGGGAGTACATCGAATATGCAACAGAGCAAAAGGGAGAAGCTCCACCCAACTTAATTCAGTCTCTAGGCTCAATTTAGTTAAAATCTCTTTTAGTGTTCTGTTAGTTCTTTCTACCTGTCCTGAACTTTGAGGTCTGTAAGCACAATGTAAATTCCATCTAATTCCAATGCTTAGGCTAATTAGTTTAGACACTTTAGCCATGAAGGCTGGGCCATTGTCAGACTTTTAAAGCAAAAAAACACAAACCTAAGAGGAGGGGATATGATAATATCATAACAATCTTATCTGACCTAAAACAAGCATTAGGAAACTTCTATAGAGTCAGGACGTCATAAAACACCAGATGACTCAAAAAACTTGAAGGTTGTTAAGTTTGAGAAACTTCAGAGCAGCACAAAATGTCTTAGCAAGATAAGAAGAAATAGGCATAAACATAAACTATCATGGGTAATAGTAACCTTGGCAATTATAAAGGTGGGGTAACAAAGATAAGGAACTACAGTCTTAGGAAACAGAAACTTAGTCACTAAAACAGAAACAACTCTAAAATGGTTCCACTTAGCTTAGGATGGCAGCATTCCTGCCAGCTCGTAGGCCAGCGCCCAATAATTCCTCCTTTGTTTTTATAAATTTTGATGTTTTTTAAGGGTATGTCCGAGCCTGTCTTAGGTTGGGAAAAGCATTTGGCTGTCTTACCCATCATTGGGGTCATCTGTTTTATAGGTCTATAACATGATGAAGATTTAACAGAAGCCCCTGTCTTAGGTTGATCAGTCAAACCTTTTCCTCTTACCCGTCTTTGACTTTCCGGACCCTCATTGAAGCTCTCTTTTTATCTGAGCGAGGTAAATACCCAAATTTTCAGAGGAACCTTCTTTAAAGGCCAAGAGTGCATGTAATGTTTTGTGCTGTATATAAATCTGATTTGAGATAACACAGTATTTATGATATTTCACATATTAGAGGCCCCATGTCAAAAACATTCAAACTAAGGCTAGTAACTTTGACATCTGACAATAAGCGTATTTCTCCCAATGTAGTAGCAGGTTTCCAAATGTTGGTTTGAGGAAAACGTGAATCTGTTTTCCAAAGTCCTGCAGATAAGCTTAAGTTTGTGGAATTTCGAAATGACCAGTCCAAGACTTTCGAGATGTATCATTAAATAACCTTTCCGGGGGATAGTAACATAACATATTTTCCATAAAATCATAGTATTAAGGATAGTGGAGGTTTACCAGTCCCATAAATCCTCATTCTGGATAAAGAAGGGAAACTTTGCTTTTTGGAATGAGATTTCCGCTTGTGCACTGAAACACATCCTGGAGTTTTCTCTGCTGCTTCAGGGTTGGGGTCCTAATCCAGTCTCCTCAGTGGAAACCCAGCATCAAGCTGTTCAGGGATAGTGGTAGGTCTATAAACATATCTGTAACCATAAGTAGGTGGAGCAGAAGAGAACGGAGAATATCTGGACCAAAAGGTTATTATCATAAATATGTTGGAAAACCTGCATGGTCAAACAATATGAATACATTTTGTATACCAGAAAAGTGGCAATAATAATGAATTCTTATGTCCTGTAATGTAGCTTTGTATCAACAGGATCTTCCCTTTTTTTTTTTAACAGAAAATAGTATATTTTGAAGATAACCATCAGAAACATGTTATAATAACATATTTATAATTTAGACCTTTGATGATAACCAATATAGACATTTTTAACAACATTTTTAACAAGGCATATCTTTTTAAGGCTATGAAAATTATTTTGGTGGCTCCCATTAGTGAACAAAGATTAGAATAAATTCTCTGAGCAGCTGCTTCTTTATTTACCAAAAGGAGCGTATCCAAACTTAAAGGTTATATTTAATTATCTTTTAAGTTTTTTATTTGATCCTATAAAGCCAGGTTGTAGAAATCAACAATCTATTTGTTTTTGACATCATTTTGATAAAGAACATATAAACATCTTTGAACATTTAAAACAGACAAACATATAACACTTAAGACAGACAAACATATAAGACAATTTTAACGAGTGCACTCAGATGGTTTTGGCCAATTGAATTATAAAATCTTTTTGTTATGACTAGTCAAAATTTTTGCAGGTCAAAATTAATACAGATCTCTTGTAGACTTAGGGTTAAAGGAATGAGTACTCTTCTTGACTATAATTGTAAACCTTTTATAACAAACTTGAAACCAACAAGCAAACATAAATAAATGATTTCCATATACCTCTATATACTTAGGCCTTCTGGTTTTGTATATGTTTCTTTACCTGTTTTTTTAACAAGATGAGCATATAAAAACCTTTCATGTCAAAAGTATAACTCTTACAGCTTTTCTAATGTTTTTTTGTCTCATTTACTATTAACCTTCTATAATAAACTTCAGCTTAAAGTGTCCTTTTTTTGTTGTTGTTCTCAGATTGTTATATTTTAAATTTGACTGGCTGCCAATAGAACAGTATTAACCTTGAGTTTTTATCAACAAAGTACAGAAAAGAGCAAGTTAACCTTATAATCACAATTCAAGAATTTGCAATGCACAAGAAATGTTTAGAGCACACCAATTAAACTTAAATCAAATAGTTAAAATTTTATAACTTGATTTCCCTTGTAAAATCTCTTTTGATGTCTGGTAAAACACAATTGCAGTTTCTCTGGCTTTGTTTTGGATTCCAGACCCTTGCAGGCAGCATCAGGCTGATAACACAGTGTTGGCCTTGGAGCTCTTAAAGCCTGGAGTGTTTTATTTATTCTCCTAATTAAGTCTCTTTCACAGATAGTAATATAAGAGGTTAGTATATTCCCTCCCTGAGGCCCCTTCCAAAGACAAACTAGGGAGCAACCCAGGGGATCTCACCATTTAGACAGAGGATTTTATCCATTCATTTTCTTTCTGTCCCATTACTGGTGAGCTGGCCTCCTCGTCCTAGAAAGGGAACCCAGGAAATCCTGGGGGGCGTGCCTTTTCCCTTTCAAGGAGGCAGACAGTCGCTTGCTCTGGTGGGAGTCGCGTTGACACAGGGAGTGAAGCTTTCCATGAGAAAATTTAACCCCGTAGTTATCCTCTTGCTCAAGGGAAAAAAAACCAATTTTAAAGTTAATGAGAAAATAGTCCAATGGGGTATTTTTGGAGCTTGATCCTCCCATTTTGTTCCTAGGAATGAATCTAAGGTTAACACTCAACAGACAGGACACAGACAAGACACACAGGTGCCATATAAAAGAAAAAGAACTTAGATTCTACCCGGAAATCCTCGTCAGGGAATCATTAAAACAATCTTTGACTCTGTTCCAACGTTTCTCGTCGACAGTTCCTTCAAGAGGAAACCAAGGATAAGTCTCTTCTACAAATTTGAAGAAGTTCATTAAATCCTTTTTCTTAACCCGAACTCACTGCGTCTTTAAGGAAGATTTTAAACCTTCAACAAACAACTGATGTGTACTTAATTTTTGTCCCATAGTTCGCGCTGCTCACTCACCTCACAGGTCGCTTTCTCAGATGGGTGGGTCTGAGCGGACTGTACACGGAGCCAAACTCACCAACAAGGCGGAGGTCCTGGGGTCGATCGGCTGATCTTCCGAGCAGCGTCCACCAGGTGAAGACCCCGTGTCTCGAGCCCCACGTTCGGGCGCCACTTGCCCCGGCCAGCAGGGCTCGTAATTAGCAGAGCTCGAGAAGGGGAGATACCTGGAAATGGGACAAAAGCGCAGAAAGGAGACCAAGCAGAGGCTTGTCAAGGTCTGGTTTATTTTAGGCACAGCAAATGTATATAAAGACAAAAAAAGAGGGGGCAATTCTATGGGGGAATTCCAGAGCGCGCAACTGCTGCAACAGGACATTCTTGAGATAAGGATACCATTAGCTTCAAAGCGGATCTGTATATCACAAGCTGTCACAAGATGTTAGGCGACAGATCATGTCACCACTCTGCTCAAGGACGTTGTCATGGGTAACGGCACGTCTGTGTCAGTGAGGTGACTCAGAGGTTAACATGGAAGTGGTTATGTTAGGCTCAGAAACAACTCTGAGAGTATATATATTTGGTTCACTACAAAAACTTGACTAATTGGACTTAAAAAAAAAATGTTTGCCCTCTGCAGAACATCAAGAAAATAAAGCGAAATATGGTGGTGTACATCTGTAAACCCAACACTTGGGAGGCTGAGGCACGATGAATGCAAGTTCAAGTCTTGCATGGGCAACTTAGTAAGACCCTGTGTCAAGGGAAAGGGATGCATCTCAGTGTGAAAGCTCTGGTGTGGTTCCATCCTTGGTAGGAGAAACAAAGAAAAGAGAGGAGAGGGGAGGGGGAAGAGGGGAGGAGGGGAGGA